GAATCGCTCTCGCCGTGGCGCGGTGCGCATTTTGAGATCGCAAAGTGAACCCTCTGCGCACTTTGGGTGGGTCGAATCGATCTCGCTGTGGCGCGGCGCACATGTTGAGATCGCACAGTGAACCCTCTGCGTGCTTTGGGTGGGGCTGAATCGCTTTCGCTGGCCGCGGAGCACATTTTTAGATCGCGAAGTCGTGACACGTGAGGTGTGACACAAAACGCAACTAGGGTCGTGGCTAGGGACATGAGACAGACCACGAAAGGCAGGACGGGAGATGTGACGGAGTTGTGACGCGAGGCGCGTCGAGACACATGATGAGAGATGTGTTGGACGTGATGACGAGAGACGGGAGCAGAGTTGTTACGACAGACGTCACAAAGCACGTGACCAAAGACGTGACAACAGACGTGCCCAGAGGTGTGACGATGGATGTGAGAAGAGGAGAGCCGTGACGAGAGACGTGACGAGAGATGCGACAAGAGACGTAACGAGGATCGTGACGCGAGAGGTTACCAGAAACGGGACGGCAAATATGACAAGAGACGTTTGAGAAGAGACGTGGCGAGGGTTGTGACAAGAGACGTGACCAGAGACGTGACGCGAGGGGTGACGACGTGCGCGACACGTGACGGGAGATGCTACGTAGTCGTGACGAGAGGCGTGTTGAGACACATGATGAAAGATAAGATGCAGGCGTAGCATTTTGAGCCTTTTGCATGTCGCTGTAACGCGATTTTTCGTGACAGGCGCAGCACTTTAGAGCTGTTCGTGCAGATTTCGTGGCAGGCGCAGCACTTTAGAGCTTTTCGTATAGATTTCGTGGCAGCTTGCGTGCAGATTTCGTGGCAAGCGCAGCACTTTCGTTGGGTCGAGTCGCTCTCGCTGTGGCGCGGTGCGCATTTTCAGCACGCAAAGTGAACCCTCTGCGCACTTTGGGTGGGTCGAATCGCTCTGGCTGTGGCGCGGCGCACCTTTTCGCACGCAAAGTGAACCCTCTGCACACTTTGGGCGGGTCGGGTCGCTCTCGCCGTGGCGGTCGAATCGATCTCGCTGTGGCGCGGCGCGCATTCTATTTTGAGATCGCAAAGCGAACCCTCTGCGCACTTCGGGTGGGTCGAATCGATCCCGCCGTGGCGCGGCTCACATTTTGAGATCGCGAAGTCGTGACGAAACACGTGAGGGTGTGACACGAAACGCAAGTAGGGTCGTGGCTAGAGACATGAGACAGACCACGAAAGGCAGGACGGGAGATGTGACGGAGCTGTGACGCGAAGCACGTCGAGACACATGATGAGAGATGTGTTGGAAGTGATGACGAGAGACGGGCGCAGAGTTGTTACGACAGACGTCACACGTGCCCAGAGGTGTGACGATGGATGTGAGAAGAGGAGAGCCGTGACGAGAGACGTGACGAGAAATGCGACAAGATGCGTGACGAGGATCGTGACGCGAGAGGTTACCAGAGACGGGATGGCAAATACGAGAAGAGACGTTTGAGAAGAGACGTGGCGAGGGTCGTGACAAGAGACGTGACCAGAGACGTGACGCGCGCGACAGGAACTCCAAGAAAGACGTTACGGGAGATGGACGCAGTCGTGACGAGAGGCGCGTCGAGACACGTGGTGAAGGATAAGCTGAAAGTCATGACGGGAGACATGGCCAGAGTTGCTACGACAGACGTGACAAAGGACGTGACTAAAGACGTGACCAGAGGCGTGACGATGGATGCGAGGGGAGACGCGAGATAAGGCGTGACCAGAGACGTGACGAGAGATGCGACAAGAGACGTGACGAGGATCATGACGCGAGAGGTTACCAGAGACGGGACGGCAAATATGACAAGAGACGTTTGAGGAGAGACGTGGCAAGAGAGTCGTGACAAGAGACGTGACCAGAGACGTGACGCGAGGGGTGACGACGCGCGCGACAGGATCTCCAAGAAAGACGTGACGGGAGATGGTACGTCGTCGTGACGAGAGGCGTGCGCATTTTCAGCACGCAAAGTGAACCCTCTGCGCGCTTTGGGTGGGTCGAATCGCTCTGGCTGTGACGCGGCTCACATTTTGAGATCGCGAAGTCGTGACGAAAAACACGTGAGGGTGTGACACGAAACACGAGTAGGGTCGTGGCTAGGGACATGAGACAGACCACGAAAGGCAGGACGGGAGATGTGACGGAGCTGTGACGCGAGGCGCGTCGAGACACATGATGAGCAATGATGAGAGATGTGTTGGAAGTGATGACGAGAGACGGGAGCAGAGTTTGTTACGACAGACGTCACAAAGCACGTGACCAAAGACGTGACAACAGACGTGACCACAGGTGTGACGATGGATGCGCACTCGAGAAGAGGAGAGCCGTGACGAGGATCGTGACGCGAGAGGTTACCAGAGACGGGATGGCAAATACGAGAAGAGACGTTTGAGAAGAGACGTGGTGAGGGTCGTGACAAGAGACGTGACCAGAGACGTGACGCGAGGGGTGACGACGCACGCGACAGGATCTCCAAGAAAGACGCGACTGGACATGGACGTAGTCGTGACGAGAGGCGCGTCGAGACACGTGATGAAGGATAAGCTGAAAGTCATGACGGGAGACATGGCAAGGTTGCTACGACAGACGTGACAAAGGACGTGACCAAAGACGTGACCAGAGGCGTGACGATGGATGTGAGGGATGTGACAAGAGACGTGCGAGGAGAGTCGCGACGAGACACGAGATATGGCGTGACCAGAGACGTGACGAGAGATGCGACAAGAGACGCGACGAGGATCGTGACGCGAGAGGTTGCCAGAGACGGGTTTGAGAAGAGACGTGGCGAGGGTCGTGACAAGAGACGTGACCAGAGACGTGACGCGAGGGGTGACGACGCGCGCGACAGGATCTCCAAGAAAGACGTGGCGGGAGATGCTACGTAGTCGTGACGCGAGGCGTGTTGAGACACAGGATGAAAGATAAGATGAAAGTCATGACAAAAAAACGTGGCCAGAGTTGCTACGACAGACGTGACAAAGGACGTGACCAAAGATGGGACCACAGGCATGACGATGGATGTGATGGATATGACAAGAGATGTGCGAGGAGAGTCGCGACGAGATGCGAGATATGGCGTGACCAGAGACGTGACGAGAGATGCGACAAGAGACGTGACAAGGATCGTGCCGAGAGGTTGCCAGAGACGGGACGGCAAATCTGACAAGAGACGTGTGAGAAGAGACGTGGCGAGGGTCGTGACCAGAGACGTGACCAGAGACGTGACGCGAACGACGCACGTGACAGGAGATGTCTCCAACAAAGACGTGATGGGAGACGCTATGTAGTCGCGACGAGAGGCGCCTCGAGACACGTGATGAAAGATGCGATGATGAAAGATGTGACGAAGGTCATGACGAGAGATTTGTTATTAAGGGACATGCCAAGGGACGTCTAGCTACGTGGCGATAGATGTGACAAGAAACGTTGTTACGTGAGACGCGACAAGGACAAGGAAAAGAAGAGAGACGTGACAAGAGACGCTGTTACGAGAAACCTGACAAGGGGCATGACCAGAGACGTGACGTGAGACGTCACCAGGGACGTGACTACACACAAAAAAGAGGAATGGCCAAGACGTGACGAGATTGGACCAGAGACGTAACGAGAGGTGTGACAAGAGACGTCGCGAGGGCCGACGACTCATGCGTGACAAGAGACGCGACGAGAGTCGCCAAGAAAGACGCGGCGGGAAACGCGACGGAGTCATGACGACAGGCGCGGCGAGACAAGTGATAAAAGACCAGAGACGCGACTTGAGGGGTGACGACTCACGTGACAAGAGACATGACGGGAGTCGCCAAGAAAGACGTGATGGGAGACGTGACAGCAGCAAGACATATGATGAAAGAAAGGTTTGACGAAAGTCATGACGAGGGACGTGGCCAGAGTTGCTACGAGAGACGTGACAATGACGTGACCCGAAGTGACCAGAGACGGGACTATAGAAACGTGACTAGAGACGCGACGCGAGATGTGACAAGAGTCCGCTTTCGTGTCCGCATTCGGGTTCGTGGCTTATATCAGGTTAACATCAAGCATGCGGATCTCCGCAGAGGGTCGCGCGGGCAAATCAAAAATCAAGAAAAAGTTCCCAGTTGTCAGCGTCGACCGCGCGGCAAAAATCGTAAAAAGCCCTCAATCGTTTAACATCGACCAACGCGGGGTCTCGCTTGTGGCCCCGTCTCAGTCTCGGCGAGGGCACGAAAGCAGAGCACGAAGAAATAAACTTTCGCAGCTCCGGCTGGCAAATCGCAACTTTTGAGTACGAAAGTATTAAATCTTCGCAGCTCCGGCTGGAAATCGCAACTCTTAAGTACGAAAGTATAAGCATGCAAAGTAAATGTTTGCAGCACTGGCTGGAACATCGCAACCTTTAAGTACGAAAGTAACGCACGAAGCAAATGTTCGCAGCTCCAGCTGAAAAATCGCAATTCTTAATAGCGAAAGTATTTGAACTTCGCGTACTGGCTGGAAAATTGCAACTTTTAAGTGCGAAAGTAGTGCGCGAGTAGAGGAGACTTGTTCAGAGCAACTTGCGTGGAGAACTTGCTCAGAGGAACTCGCGCCAAGAACTTGCTCAGAGCAACTTGCACAGAGAACTTGCTTGGAGAACTTGTTCAGTCCTTTTACAGTCGTGATTTATGGAACTGGCGTGCTGGATACGTCTACCAATGCCAAGTGGTGCGCCACAGGTGGTTTCTTTTGTCCATGCTGTGACATCTTTCATTGGCAGATATATTGCCTGCCTGCTTAATCAATCCCCCCCTTGGCTATGACTGCGTCCAAGAACTCTCCGCCTCGGGGTAGTTGAGCTTGGGCACGGCAACGAGCGCTCGCGAGCGCGGTACAAACGATGTCTTGAGTGTCCCTGGAAGTCGCCGCCAAGCAATCATGATGTAACGCAACTGGAACCTGCAAGGAACTATCTCCAGAAAGTTCTTTAAGTTGGTCGTTCCGCAGCCAAGGCTCAACACGGAGCTGAACCAGAAGATGTTATTCTCCTCGAAGGGAGCGGCAGAAGTGTGCGGCTTTGACTGGCTGGACCCGCCAGAGCAAGTGTTGAGGCCCCTTCGAGTGGGACAAAGCACGGGCTTGCCCCTTTTTAGGAGCCATTTTCATTGCCTTCCAAGCTAGGTGCTCTCATCCTTCGATGGGAGGCCAACAATAGATTGTTCAAACAATGCCCGGAACCGTGTGTCTATTAGTTTTCACGGGAAGGGTGAGGGGGCGGGGATAGATGTGCTCGTTCTGGGGCAGATTCTGGGGCGGACCGTTTTGTGGCACTACGTACATCGTGAGATTTGTAGATCTTGAAATGCCTTTGCGCAGACTCGCGCAAAAGTGGGCAAAAGTTGACTTGAGAGATGCGCGTGCGCATTTCCATTGCACAGGCTCGCGCAAACTGTGCTCTTGCTGTGGCCCGGTGCGCACTCCGAAAACAGTTGATTGGCGAACCCTCTGCGGACTTAAAGGGTGGATCGCTCTCGTAAAGCGGTGCGAAGTTTGAACATCGAAAGTGAAGCTTGCGTCGCTCTTGCTGCGTTGTGTTGCAAATTGCGAACACCGAATCGAGCCTGCAAAGGTACTCTTGCAAGAGATCTTGTGATCCTGACAGAGAATCCTCTCATAGGCCCTGCGCGCAGCAATCTTGCCAAGAGATCCTATCAAGAGATCCTATCCTGCGAAAATCCTCCAAAGATACCGTGCACTGGTCCTTCTAAAGATGCGCCCAAGCAGTCATACGCAAGAACTCCTTTCAAGAGGTCTTCTAGGGGCATCACTTGCTATCCGTTTAAGATGCCATTTATTTTTCCCGAAGGAGTGTTTACACTACGGGTATGTTGCGGTAAGAGTCACAGCTGGGTTCGATCGAGGGTTGGCACTCAAGGTGCTACCTGCGAGCACAAAGTTGTCTTCAATACGCTTGTCTCGCACGAAATTGGGTTCGTGTTGGTGCGTGCGCTCTCGCTGTGGCGGCGCGTGAATGTTACGCATGACATCATTTTTGATGACAGGGACAACAGTCTGAGTCTGGGAGGCGGCGCACGCAGCGCTATGTTTTTTTCAGGCAGCCTGGCACCAAGCACTTTTTGAAGCAAGGTGCGTTTTGATGGGCCCCGCCAAAGTTCGCACTACGACGCGGGGCGTGTGGTTTCAGGGAAGCCTCGTCCTAAACGCGCTGAGTGTTGAGCAAAGTGCGTTTTTGATGGCAGGGCCGCTTCGCGGTGGATGTGTCCTTGCCAATTCAGGCTACGACACTTGGACAACCGGAGCTCTAAAACGATGGCAGTCGCCGCCAAAAGTGGTCTTGCGTACAACAGTGTTGCGTGAAACAGACCTTTCTTCAAAATTACGCTCTCTCCGTGGCGGCGCGCCGATCTTCGGATAAGTGTGCGTGGCCACAGCGAAGCATTTTGCAGGCGCAGCGTTGCAAGATGAAAGTAAACCCTCTGCGGAGATCGTGCGTGTCGAAGCACTCTCGCTGTGGTGCGAGTGTCTTGCCCTCTGCGAAATTGTGCCTGTCGAAGCGCTCTCGCTGTAGCACCGTGCGAATTGGGCTCGGCAACGCCTCTGCAGAGATCCCGCAGACGCTGCGCGTCGAAGCGCTCTCGCTGTGCATGCGCGTGGGGCCACGTGTCGACACACTCTCGCCGTGGCGCCGCACGAGCCCTCCCTTGCGCGTCGAAGCGCTCTCGCTGTGGCGCCGAACGAGTGTGTCTCTTGATAGGTCTTGCTCTCGGCAAACCCTCTGCGGAGAGCGCGCGTGTCGAAAGGTCCACTAAAGCCATGCCTCTCCAAAGGCTTTGTGGGGAAGGAGAAATCATCTGGAACTTCCCATGTCAAAGACTTTGTGGAGGTGTGCCAAAGTTGCCGAAAGCGCCAGGCAAACCTTTGACGTGGTGATCGGGGCGGATTTGGTTTACTCCTTCGCGGCGGTGGAGCCATTTGTCACGGCCCTGTCTGCGGTTCTTTGCCGGGAGAGGGCCACTTGTTGTCAGATATTAGCGCCGCGCATAGGTCTGAGACCACTGAAAAATTGGTATTGGTCCCCTGCATGCATGCAGATATTTCGTGGTCGCTGATCTTTCTAATTTTAGAAGTTCTACGACGGATCACGCATCCAGATCATAGTGCCTCACTTCCTGACTACTCACCTTCGCACTTTGTGGGAAGACAGCTAGAGGTTTAACTCTTTTCGGCCAATCCAGTTTTAAACGTGTTGGCCGTCCAGTTTCCGACGCTGTTTCCTGCTCAGGAAGCTGCAGCGCCCGTCATGATCTACGCCCATTTCCCGCGCTTCCCAAAGCTGGATGCCACTTTGAAGCATTAGCGGCAAAAGGGAAGGCGCGCAACGCGGTGCCAACTGTTCTTCATCTCGTTTTTGTTCGGAAGTGCTGAATGTGTACTACGTGGGCCCAATTTCGCAAATAAGCATCTTAATGAGCGATTGGTGGACCTCAAGTAAGTGGGGCGCAAACACATAGCTCAACAAACGACACGGTTTGTTTTGAGCGAGAGTGCTTGGGAACCACTGGCTTCTTGTGGAAAGCCCACGCATCAGGACGACATGCTGGCGGCTCTGACGACCAAAGGTTTGGGCGCCAGAGCGCCTGCCTCAGAATCGCAGGCGATGAGCGCGACACCAATTGCAGTAGGCCAAAAGTACACACAACTGTTTATGGGGCCTCTTCGACAGCATGGTAGTCCGCCACCCCTCTTTGCACGTGGACACGGCCGACCGTGGTGAAGTTCCCACGTGGCCGTTGTTTGTGAAGGGAAAGAGAGCATCCCTTGTAAACAGTATGATTCGTGTCCTTGGCTCAAAGGCGAGGGTGACTTACAGGTGAACTTATGTTGGCGCGACCTTTGACTAAACCTCCAGCACGGCTCTGGCGCAGCAAGTGCAAGAGCTGGGGGGTAGAAGCGGCTTTAAACCGCGGCCCTGTGTGTGAGTTGGGCTTGTCCGTGTGTGTGCAAACCACTTCGGTTGCGACGCCAGACGGGGGCAGTCTCGGTCTCTGAGCGGGGGAGTCAGGACCATTGGCACGGACGCGCCTTTCACAAGATGTTGACAACATCCGGATGATGCGGACAGCACCAGGATTATGTATACGAGCAGCATCGTGACACGGACATGATGTTGACAGCGTTCTGATGCTAACAACCCTCTTTCGATCAAAAGACGCACAAACAACTTCCTCGCAAGTAGTTGCAACATCATCGCGGTGATGTTAGCCGCTAGCCGATAGCAGCATCACGACGATGCCACAGCCGTTCATCACAACGCGCTAAATAGACACAAGCAACGTCTTAATGAGCGCAGCAGCATCCTGATGGTGTTACGGCGACAGCGTGATGCTGACAGAACAGCTTTCGCTCTTGTTGACATCACGCATGCTGTGAAGGAGTAGCAGCCGAAATGGCGCAACATTACCCCAACACCAGAAAGCAACACTTATGTTGCCCTGCCGTCAATGTCGGAATGCGCTCACCTCAGCACCCAAAGCAGCGCCTGCTCCAGCGCCCCAAACTCCGCGCCACCCTGCCGCCAATCTTGCAAAGATGAAAAACGCGCCCCAAAACAGCTTTTGTGTTGGCAATATCGAGTTTAGCAGCGGGCACATAAGATTAAGCAAGGTTAGAAATGCTGAGTTTATGTGTGGGAAAATAAGATTAAGTATGGGTTATGAAATCATGACGGGCCATACTGAGATTAGTAGGGGGGGCGTACGATTGAGTATTGACAATGCCAAACGCAGTGTGGCGGCGCTGAGTTTAGTGGCGGGGAGCCAAGATTAACTGTGGCCAAGACCAACTTAACATTAGCAATACTGAATTCAGCATCGGGGCCCAAGTGGAAGTGTTGACAATATTTGACAATATGGCACACCTGAGTATATGTAGTGGTGGGAACCTAAGACAAAGCATTTTTTGCGTTGGCAAACAAAATCTAGTTTTGGCAATACTGGTTTTGGCCTAAGTGTATGATCTCAAAATTCTCGCTGCAGCCAGATGTAAGCAAATTCTATCTGCAACGAAACCAGATTTTCAGACGACCCGTTTAATCTTGTTTGTCAAGATTAAGCGTATTCAAACTGCTAGCCCGTCACGGATGAAAACCAGAAGGCTTGAGTGGACCTGCAAGTCGATGTCCTTCTGACATGCCTCAGCCTCCACAATCTGGATCAAGCCTAGAGCCGGGACTGGCCTCCTTGGTGCCAGGTTCACATTCTGGCTCTCCAAGACACGTACGGTTTGAACCCCCGCTTGCAAACCAGCGCAAGCCATGACAAACCTCTGCGCCAGAATGGCATAGCCCCACTTGGGATGAACTTGCTTTAGACAAAGGAAACTGAGGGAACCATGCGCACCATGCCCGTAGCATTTCGAAAGAATGCTGACGAAAGGAAACTGAGGGAACCATGCGGACCATGCCCGTAGCATTTCGAAACAATGCTGACGATTGCGCGTTCGTGACCATTGCTCATAGTAATCCGTTCTTCAATGTTGGCTATGCTACTTGACCTGTCAGCCTTGGATTGGGATACCTTTCTCGGACAAGTGTTGCCTGCTTGTTGTTAAGGTTTTTCTTGGTGAGACGGCGCACTTCCCCCTTTTTGATGTGGTCATCTCCTTTTCTTTGGGAGATTTGTGTCCACCTACTGCATTTGAAGGACCAACGTGAGCTATGTGTCTTGCTGGCCTGCCCGGTTAGGAGCTGCCCGTCAGCGAAGTGTCGGCTGTGGGGCAGATCCCTTTAGAGATGATTCAGCGGGTGAAGCTGCTGGAGATCCGGAGGCTGGCGGCTTTTTACACACGACCAAGATCAACTTGGCTGTAAGGGGCCCAAACTGGTTGCTTTGCTTTCGATGAGCTTTAAGCAATGAAGATAGTGAAGGTTCTTTCTCCGTTTCTTTCTCTCTTTTTTCTTTCTCTGTCTCCTTCTCTATCCTTTCTTCTTTTTCTCCTTCTCTTTTTTGCTTTCCCAAACTGCTGCGCATGCCATGAAATCTGTCAGCGCCTGCCACGAAATCTGCGCCTGGCCTGACCTTGCCAAAGTGCTGCGCCTGCCACGAACTCTGCGCTTGACCTGGAAGTGTGCGTAGATAGATAGCTGCAAAAGATTGGATACCGCGCGCGAAAAGCTTGCGACTTGCAGATGGCTTCAGAAAATCAGATGGCCTATGTGATAAGATAGCGTGCGCGCATGAAGCGCGCACATAAGATGAAGAAAGGCGGAACGAACGCGGGAGGGCGTGTGGTGCGGGAATAGAAATCGTTAAAAAGAGCGAGCATCTGCAGGTTTTGGCGGGTCCACTTCAATGTCAGCCACCTCTGTCTCGACGCCTGTCTTACGCGGGTCCGGCACGGGTGCAGCACACGGCCCCACTGCAATGGCAACGCAAAGGTTTCGCAAGGTTTTGATCGCGTGGCAGCACTTTGGCAAATTAGTTGCAACTTTCTTGTTAAGACACGGGGGGGCGCTTTCATGTCGGCAGTGTAGCTGAAGTGGCCTGTGGATTTCGATGGTTCCATACGGCCTGCCAGGTCAAGCTGACGCACCGGCGAGAGAAAAAAAGACTCCATTTGCTGACGGGGTCCGTCAGTTCACCTCGGCGTTTTGTTATTGGATTTTGACATTCGTTGTTAGCGCCTCAGCTGGGAGGGCGAAGTATAGGTTTCGGTAAAGGGGGGAGGGACTTGAAACATCATGGTTCCAGGTCATTGTGTCTACCTTCCTGCTTGCATTTGCCACAACGATAGAAGTGTGATGCTTTTGCAGCACTTGTGCTAGACGTCGCAAGCGCCAAGAATCTCCGAGTCGCTCTTCTGCAAGTTGCAACGATTGAGGGTGTCGCTATTTGCCAGACGTTTGTGCTTATTGTCGCACACCCACCCATGCGATGACGCACTTCTTGCTACGGGAAAAAAGTGGAGCATGGGATTCACTGAGCCCGCATTTGCGAGATTCCGTTTGGCCAACCAACGCGTGCCTGATTTCCTCTGCGTGGCGTGCCAGGATGTTCGCAGAACAACTACGACGACGATAGATATTTGGAAAAAGCGGGCGAGCGATACGATGATGCCCATCTCGTCAGGAAGCTAAAGGCATCCTGCCTTGAAATTTGACTTAGGGGGTGTTCATGGCTTATCCGTCGGGGAGGAAGAACGCCGAGGCCATTGTCAAGGCCACAAAGCACTTTTTTGGTACGTGCAAAATGAAGAAAGCTTAAACCAGACGCCTGCGCGTCTCATCCGCGCAGGCTTGTCAGTATGCTGGAAGCATGAAGAAGTAGTCATATAGCGCTTAATGGTGGCGTTCTCGAAACGATTGCTGCAACAGTTGTGTCTTGTTTAGATAACATTTCAATGGCTATTGGGACAGATCTTTACTGGGCACAAGTGAAATGTCAACTTTATGTGACGGAGCCAACTTATCTGGAACCTGAAACACTTCATGAGTGGCTGACAGCTCAGCTGCGCCTTTGGTGTTATTATCTATGGATGAATGCTGGATTTTGTTTTACGATTAATGCCTCGTGCTGTTTTAATGAAAATGTAACAGTCCTTAACACACCACCACTTTTCGTGACTGACATTCAATATGTCTCAGGCGATGTTATTGGTGCTACCTCTGGCGCTGTAACCATTCATGGTTCGCTAATAGACAATGCTGATGCTAGATTTCAATACGTTAGATTTACGTAAAAGTACTTGTATTAATACGAGTAGCGCCGGCAGAGCCGGGGGGGCAGAAGTTTCTACAACAAACGGGACTTAAAGAATTTGCACTGTTGCCGGTTTCAGCGGGGATGCCCTGCTCCTTGAACACGCCAGAAACATTCGCCCCCGGGTTTCGTGAGCACTCCCACATCAGTTTTCTAAGTTTTTGAGAAGTTTGTTTTTGATGGCATGGCCAACGCGTTTGAGTTTGCTGGCTTGAAAAACCAAAACACGTTGATGTTTCTGAGATGGATGGATGGATGGATGGATCTTTAACGGGCCGCCTGTGTAAAACCTTTCACGGCACCCCTCATCACTCACTTCTCACACGCCGTTCAGGTTTGTCCCACCCCAGGGCCGCCCAGCACTAAAGCTTTTTCGGTTTAGGGTCATCTACGGTACACGCCTCATTTCTCACCATAGTTTCCACTCATATCTGACCATATGTTTCGTCTCATTTCTGAGCACAGGATGCTACTCATTAGTGACCATGTGTTTCCACATAGTAGTGACCGTGCTGCGTAGATGTACGCACACATGTAGCACACAGCGGGTGAGAGGTCGGCATGAAGATGTTTGGTAAGGGCTCTGTCAGGGGGAGCAACCCAAGCCTCTGGAGCAAGACGGCATGAGAAGCTCACACTGTGCCTTGCTCAAAGGCAGCGGCCAAAGAATGGCAAGGCGCCGAGCGCAGACCGGAGGGCGCCGAGGGAAGACCGGATAGGCCCGGGTACAGACCGGGAAGGCCCCGAGAGGGCTGCGACAAAAGGCCGGGAAGGCGCCGAACGCCGAACACAGACCGGGAAGGCGCTGAGCAACCGCCGGGAAAGCGGAAGGCGGTCAGCGAACACTAGAAGGCGCTCGAAAAGACCGGGCAGGTCTTGGCTACTGACCGGGAAGCCGCCGCGAAAGGACCGGGAAGGCGGCGAGGAAAGACCGGGAAGGCCCCGAAAAAAGAGCGGGAGACCGGGAAGGCCCCGGCAAACGACCGGCAAGGCGTCGAGCAAAGACCGGAAAGGGTCCGGGAAAGGACCGGGAAGGCTCCAAGAAGGCTGCGACAAAAGGCCCGCCGAGGGAAGCGCTCAGCCACCAGCACCTGCTCGCCGTGACCATTGCGGTTGGCCTGGCCGGATGCCTGTTACTGTCCACTTGCGCACATTGAGGAGGGCGCCCGATCCCGGCACGCCCCCTCTGGAAACTGAAAGCAGAGGCAACTGCCCCTGTGTTCCGCCGGCGTGTTCAACCATCCCAGGCTACTCTGCGCCTGCCCGTCTGTGAGCGAAGCACCTTCCCGGCTGCCTGTCTTAACCTCTGCGTGGCCTCCGAGCAAGCCAAAGTCGGGGCTTGAACGCTCAGCGCCTTGGAAACGCGTAAGCCGAGCTCCTCTGCAGCAAACTCATGGGCATCCTTGGGCTGAAGCACACAGTGCGCTTGCAGTAAGCACACTGCGTGCTCAGCACCAATCACCAAGGCTCTGCTCGGGCAGGACCAAGACCTTGCTGAGTGCGCTTGCCCGGTCTTTGGCCCCACGAGGTTACTGCAAGATGCCCGCACCGGCCTTCCCCCTCCGGCCTGCCACGGCTCGGCGGTCTCGCTTGCGTCCCCCGTGGCCGGATTGGCTTTCGCCCGCCTGATCTGGGGACGATTCTGTCCCCGGCATCTGGCACTGCTTTGCGACTTGCAGAAAACGGATGACGGCCCTTCTCGCGGCCGGTCTTTCCGCGCATGATATCGAAGCCAGCAGAGCAAAGCGAATCCTTGGAAACTAGCAAACAAAGAAACCAACAGAAACAAACAAGGCAAGAAACAAACAAAGCAACAACAAGCAAACAAACCAGCAGACCAAGAAAGAAACAAACCAAGAAACAAAGAAATCAAGAATCGCACGCGCACACACACACAAAACAACATGAACTTGTACTACGCTCGTACGGGCCGCATTGCGCCTTACTGCTCCGGGAAGGCGTCGAGCATTGACCGTGAAGGCTGCGGGGCAAGATCGGGAAGGCGTCGAGGAAGGACCAGGAAGGCGTCGAGCAATGACCGGGAAGGGTCGAGCAAAGACCGGGAAGGAGCCGAGCAAAGACTGGGAAGGCTGCAAGGAAGGGCGCCGAGCAACGACCGGGAAGGCGTCGAGCGCAGCCTTCCCAGTGTTTGCTCAACGCCTTCCCACTCTTTGCTCGACGCCTTCCCGGTCATTGCTCGACGTCTTCCCGGTCTTCTCCCGGGGCTTTCTCGGTCATTGCTCGACGCCTTCCCGGTCATTGCTCGACGCCTTCCCGGTCTTTCCCCGCAGCCTTCCCGGTCTTTCCCCGCAGCCTTCCCAGTCTTTGCTCAACGCCTTCCCGGTCTTTGCTCGACGCCTTCCCGGTCTTTGCTCGACGCCTTCCCGGTCATTGCTCCACGCCTTTCCGGCGCCTTCCCGGTCTTTCCCCGCAGCCTTCCCGGTCTTTGCTCGACGCCTTGGCCTTCCCGGGAAGGCTGCGGGGAAAGACCGGGAAGGCGTCGAGCAGTGACCGGGAAGGCTGCGGGGAAAGAGCGGGAGGGGTGGGGGGAAAGACCGGGGAGGCTGCGGGGAAAGACCGGGAAGGTGTCGAGCAATCAACGGCAAGGTGTCGAGCAATGACCGGGCAGGAAAGAGCGGGAAGGCCCGGCGTCGGGAAAAGACCGGGGCCCCGGAAGAAGACCGGGAAGGCGCTGAGGAAGGACCGGGAAGGCGTCGAGCAAAGACCGGGAAGGCCCCGACGAGACCGGGAAGGCGTGAACCGGGAAGACGTCGAGGAAGGACTGGGAAGGCTGCGGGAGAAGACCGGGAAGGCGTTGAGGAAGGACCGGGAAGGTGTCCAGCAAAGACAGGGAAGGCCCCGGGAAGAGACCGGGAAGGCGTGGGAAGGCGTCGAGCAAAGACTAGGAAGGCTGCGGGAAAAGACCGGAAAGGCGTCCAGCAATGACCGGGAAGGCGTCGAGCAAAGACTGAGGCGTCGAGCAATGACCGGGAAGGCGTCGAGCAAAGACCGGGAAGGCGTCGAGCAAAGACCGGGAAGGCGTCGAGCAATGACCGGGAAGACGTCGAGCAATGACCGGGAAGGTGTCGAGCAAAGAGCGGGAAGGCTGCGGGGAAAGACCGGGAAGGCGTTGAGCAGTGACCGGGAAGGCTGCGGGGAAAGAGCGGGAGGGCTGCGGGGAAAGACCGGGAAGGCTGCGGGGAAAGACCGGGAAGGTGTCGAGCAATGAACGGGAAGGTGTCGAGCAATGACCGGGAAGGCCCCGAAGAAATTAGCGCAGGAAGGACCGGGAAGGCGTCGAGGAAAGAGCGGGAAGGCCCGGCGTCGAGCCAGGACCGGGAAGGGAGAAGACAGGGAAGACGTCCAGGAAGGACTGGGAAGGCTGCAGGAAAAGCCGGGAAGGCGTCGAGCGAAGACCGGGAAGGCCCCGACGAGACCGGGAAGGCGTGGACCGGGAAGACGTCGAGGAAGGACTGGGAAGGCTGCGGGAAAAGACCGGGAAGGCCCCGGGGAGAAGACCGGGAAGGCGTTGAGGAAGGACCGGGAAGGCGTCGGCAAAGACCGGGAAGGCCCCGGGACAAGACCGGGAAGGCGTGGGAAGGCGTCGAGCAAAGTAGGAAGGCTGCGGGAAAGACCGGAAAAGCGCCCAGCAATGACCGGGAAGGCGTCGAGCAAAGACTGGGAAGGCCCCGGGAGAAGACCGGGAAGGCGTCGAGCAAAGTGCCGGGAAGGCGTCGAGCAAAGTGCCGGGAAGGCTGCGGGGAAAGACCGGGAAGGCGTCGAGCAATGACCGGGAAGGCGTCGAGCGAAGACCGGGAAGGCGTCGAGCAATGGCCGGGAAGGCGTCGAGCAATGGCCGGGAAGGCGTCGAGCAAAGACCGGGAAGGCCCCGGGAGAAGACCGGGAAGGCG